TTTTTTTTTTTTTTATGATCTTGAGTTTTGTTCCACATTGTTCTCCCACTCTATCCTGGATATTCTACACTGATCCCCTTCCAAGTGCTTGACAGTGGTAGCCTGGCATCATCTAGTTCTGGTCTCATGGTCATATAAGCTGAAGATCGTATGGTCTGCCAGTCCCTTGGACTGATTGTTTCTCCATGAGTCTTTGGTTTTCTTCATTCTTCTTTGGCTCTGGATGAGGAGAGACCAATAGCAAATATTTTAATTGTTGCATGCTACTGAGCAAATAGCTCACTCTCAAGGTGTCATTGTTTTCCTGATCTATAAGGAAACTGAAACAAGAGTTTAAGCAACCTGGCCAAGGTCAAACAATTTGTATATGGCAGAGATTTGAGCCTCTATTCTGGGTGTTAAGCCAGTACACTTAATCTTTAAACTCTACTTGTAGTTATGAGAATAGGCTTATTTGTCCACCTCTCTAGCCCTCAGTTTCATTTTCTGTAAAATGGATATAATATATACTTCATAAAGTTGCTCATGACTATTAAATAAAATATATTCCAAATGTTTAGCACAAGAGGATATAGTAGATGTGTCATAAATTTTCACTATCATGATTGTACTTGTCACTATCACTATCATCATCTCTGCTAAAAAGAGTTATTTATAAGGTGTATTTTCTTCCCTTTTTTGGGGGAGGGTGGTATTGCTTATAGCCTGATTTACAATCTAATCTGAACTTTTTAAGCCTTGGATCTATTTTGATGCTTACATACATGAAAACTAGTTCAAGTATGTCTGTTTTACTATGTAAATTGTAATGATACTGCTTTTGTTTAAAACATGTTTGGTGACTTCTTCAGTGGTATTAGGAAGGTTTGGTACAGCTCTTTGTGATCATACTATAGGACTTATTTTCCCACTGACTGACTTCCTTTTCTCTTTGAGGGAGATTGGTATAGTAGTTAAATACACAGACTCTGAAGCTGGATTTTTGTTGTTAGTTGCAGTCATGTTGAAGCCAACTCCTGGCAACCCTTTGCTCTGTACTTGCTTTGTCACTAGCTTTGTAAGAGGCTAACGCCTGATACATAAGAGTTTCAATACATGATAACTAACATTATTGTTACCTTTGGAAAGAAACAATCCTTGTTAGGTATGTCCAGTTGGTTTTTGACTCATAGCAATCCCATGTAACATAGTAGAACTGCCTGCCCCAGGGTTTTCTGGGCTTTTATCTTTATGGGAGTAGATTGCCAGCTTTTTTCCCCTGCAGAGCTGCTAGATGAGTTTGAACTGCCTAACCTTTTGGTTTGCAGCTGAGCACTTAAATTTGCATCGTCGGGGAGGATCCCAAATCTGAAAAGGTACATTTAGAGTTGAGGAGAGTAGATATATAAAGAAGTTAACTGAGATGATTTTAAGCTGACAGAAAATAATGGCTTAACCAAATCTCTGATAATCTAGGAGTGCTATCACACACCTCACTTTTTCTTTTTCATGTCTTAGGTTGGCTTTTTTGTGAAGCGGGGATGCTCCAAAGGCACAGTTGAAATCGAATTGTAAGTGTTGAAGGTGGTAAAATCACTTTTTTTTTTTTTTAAATTTATGTCCATAATTTCCTGATGATGTTGGAAAATAATAGTAATATATCATGGCATAAATATTAAGAGTAATATTTTAAAAATACTTTATCTAAACAAGAAAGTTTTTTTATGTTTTTGTTTTTCTATTTTGCATACTTAAAAAGAAATGTAAGAACTCTTGGAAAAATCCTTAAGGAAATTGTAAGTTTATGGGAGGTAATGAAAAAGAAATATACCATTGTTCAATATTCATTAAAAATATATGATATTTTTCACAAATTTAAAATATCTGTTGTCTTTTGCTGGTTTTGAAAGTAACGTTTGCCTGTTAAAAATAAATACAAGCAATACAGAAGTATATAAAATTGAAAATGAAAATCTTGTCCTTGCTATAATTCTACTTCTAGAACGAACCACTGTTTATAGGTTGATGAATTTCTTTTATGGCAAATACTTGGCATTTCTGTCCCCATATTCCATTCCCTTCCTCAAAAAAACTGATACTTATTTTTCCTCAAACCTGCCTATTCTCAATTTATCACTCTTGGCAGCCATTTCTGATGAATCAGAAATGGGACCAATTTATCATCTTTGGCATATGTATTTTCAGCCTTTTATACATAAATATCCATGTATTTTAGATGGTTTTAGAAAGTTATCTTTTCTGTATAATAGCGTTTATAGACAGGCATACATTTTTGAGATATAATATTTAAAGATATCTGAAAGCCCTGCCATTTTATAGGATATGAAGAAGCCTAGTGTTCTGATCTTTTACTCAAAAATTGTTGGAATTTTTTTTTACATAGAGATGACAGGCCCACATGGAAATAAAATGAATAAAAAAGATTACGCTCAACTTATTTAAAAATAAAGGTAGAATTTTACTGAAGGCTACAAAACTAAGACCTGCATAGAGAAGTGAATCATGTTGCTAGAAAGATAAAGTTAGTATCATCAGTATGTCAGTCCTTCCCAATTAATGTATAAATTTGCATTTTCAACCAGAGTCTAAACAGGTAAGTTTACAAGGTGATTCTAAGGTTCATCGGGAAAAATTAAGGTGCCAGAAGACTGAAGAAGTTTCTGAAAAAGCAGAATAGTGAAGAAGACTTTTATGTAATAGATGTTAAAGTATACTATTCCTGTTAAAAGAAAACTATATGCTACTGGTACAGAAGATTAGAGGAACAGAATGGAGAAGCTCAGAGCAGATTTAAATGTATATGAGAATTTAATTTATTACAAAGGTGGCAGTTGAAGCATAACATGTAAATAACTCAGTAAATTGAGTTGAGGCAATTTACTCTTAGGTTTTTTTTTTAACACCATACACAAAACAAAATCTAGATATATTAAAGGCTGCATGAAAAAATATGTAACTCTGAAAATAATAGTAAAAAATATGAGTATTTTTAATATCTTGGGAATGGGGAAAGTCTAATCAGAACAGGAGTCCTCATAACCATACAGGGAAGATAGGAAATTTAGACTACAGAAAAATCCAGCTACAGATAATGAAGCCATGGTTAAAACATACTAACAAATAGGAGAAAACATTTCCTGCACAAATAACATATAGAATTCTTAAACTTACTGAAATAATTGGTATAATGACTCAGACAAATCGAGAAAAATGTAAATGACCTAATAGAAAAATGAGCAAAGTAATCGAATAAGTAATTCACAGATGTAAAATAAATGGCCTGTAAGTATCAAAAGTGCTTACTCCTTACTAATTGTCAAGAAAATCAAGATATTGAGGATTTTTTTTTTCTCTCAACTTGTAAAAATTTTTAAATAATATTCAGTGTTATGAAGATATAGGAAGTGGGTTGTACCCTGTCATGAAAGTATAAACAGTATATCCTATTTGGCAGTATCTTACCAGCATTTAAGAAGGAGCCCCATGATGCAGTGGTTAAGTGCTTGGCTCTTAACCAAAAGGTTGGAAGTTCAAATCCACTAGATGCTCCATGGGAAAAAGATGTGACCATCTGCTTTCATAAAGATTTACAGCCTTGAAAATTCCACAGGATAGTTCTATTCTGTCCTGTACGGTTGAGTTGGAATCCACTCAGTGGCAGTGGGTTTATTAACATTTAGAATACATACACTCTTTGAACCAGGTATTCTACTTAATAAATATCTAATCTAGACAATGTTTACACAATATTAGCTTTTTCCTGTTTCTATAATGAAAAATTACAAGAAATCAAAAATCCATCAATAAAAGGTAGTTCTATCAATATCCACATTGTATCTACATTGTAGAAATTCATACAAAATGGAAAATAAAAAACAAAAACTGTGTATGTACTTTCTATGGAATAGACTAATGTCTTGAAGAACATACCCCTGTGACCACTGTCTTAAAAGAATATCATACTGTTCTTTTTAAGGGAGAGGGTAGTGATTCATGAAAGTAGGTTGTGAGGGAATTTCATTTTTTTTTTTAACATGATATGCTTTTGAAAATTTTTGTTTTTCATGAGAATATATTTGTACTACATTATTTTAAAACTGGTTTTAATGATAAAAAATGTACGAAGACAATTTATAGGAGAGGCAAAAAGCAAAATAGAAGAAACATGAATGGTCAGTAACTTATAAAAAGATATTTAATTTCAGTAATTTTTCTTTTACTGAGCCATTTTTTTGTTAGAGATTTATATCAAATACTGATTTTCCAGTGCCAGAGGTACAGTGACTTATTTTAGAAGGCATAATATGTGTCATAACTGAAATATTATTGCACTGGTGAAGACTATGAAGAGAAGTTGCCACCTAAATAAGGAATAAAGCTCTGTAAGTAAGCTTGACAGGAAAGGGGAATAGCCTCATATATGGAGACATGTAAAGGACCCTGCTTGCACAAAGCTTAAGCTCTCAGCTGCTAATTGAAAGGTCAGCGTTTTGAACCTACCCAGGTGTTCTAGTAGTGGTTTCCTTCTCTAAAGATTACAGCCTTGGAAACCTTATGGGGTAGTTTTACTCTGTCCTGTAGGGTGGCTGTGAGTCAGAATTGACTCAACAGCATACAAAAACATGGAATCTTCAACCAAAAAAAAAAAAATCCCAAACCCACTGCCATAGAGTTGTATCCAACGCCTAGCAACCCCTCCTTGGGTTTCCAAGGAGGTAACACTACGGAAGTAGATTGCCCAACCTTCCTTCCAAGGAGTGGCTGGCGGGTTTGAACTGTCAGCCTTCTGATTAGCAGTCTAATGCATTAGGCATCATGCTACCAAAGCTCCTTCTATTCTAAGAAGGAAGGAATAATTTCAGGAATTCTTCTTGGTCCTGGTTAGAGAATAACAAAGGTACCTGCCGAAGAATTGATTTATAAAACTATTTGCCACATTCTCTCAGCAGTTGTGTGTTCAACAAAATTCAACAGCCTTTCATGACCAAAACACTAAACATTTAGAAATAGAAGGAAACTTTTCAACTTTATAAAGGGAATCTATAAAAAACTCACAGCTAACATACTTAATGATGAAAGACTGAAACTTTCTCCCTTAAAGTCAGGAACAAGACAATAGCAGGTGTTTGCTAGGATGTGGATGAATTGGAATTCTCATACATTAGTGGTGGTGGTGGTGGTTGTTATATGCCACTGAGGTGGACCCGACTCATAGTGACCCTCCTTGGGTTTCCGAGGCAGTATCACTACGGAAGTAGATTGCCCAACCTTCCAAGGAGTGGCTGGTGGGTTTGAACTGCCAGCCTTCTTGTTAGCAGTAAAATGCCTTAGACACTACGCTACCAGAGTTCCTACATTGGTGGTAGGAATGTAAAATGGTGCAGACACTTTAGAAAACACATTGGCAGCTCCTCAGAAAGTTAAACATAGAGTTACTACATGACAGTGATTTCACTTACAAGTCAGTATTCAAAGATACAAAAACATGTTCATAAAAAACTTATATGTGACTGTTCATAGCAGCATTATCCATATTAGGAAAAAAGTAAAAACAAATCAAGTGTTGATCAACTGATAAATGAGTAAGCAGAATACAGTATATCCATTCAATGATTTATTGTTGTTAGGTGCCATCGAGTTGGTTCCAACTTGTAGCAACCGTATATACAACAGAATGAAACATTGGCTGATCCTGTGGCAACCTCAAAATCCTTGTTATACCTGAGCCCATCATTGCAGCCACTGTGTCAATTCATCTTGTTGATGACCTTCCCCTTTATCATTGACCCTCCACTTTACCAAGCATGATATCCTTCCCCAAAAAATGGTGCTTTGTGACAGCATGACCAAAGTAGGTTAGACTAAGTCTGGCCATTCTCACTTCCAAGGAGCATTCCAGCTGCACTTCTTCCAGGAAAGATTTGTTAGTTCTTTTAGGAGTCCATGGTACTTTCAGCATTCTTCACCAACACAACAGTTCAAAAGCATCACCTCTTCTTCAGTCTTCCTTATTGTCCAGCTTTCACATGCATATGAGGTAACTGAAAATACCATGGGTTAGCCGCACTTAGTCTTGCAGGAGACATCTTTGCTCTTCAGCACTTGAAAAAGGTCTTTTGTAGCAGTTTTGCCCAGTGCAATATGTCGTCTGATGTCTTGACTGATGCTTCCATTGGTATTGATTGTAGAACCAAGTAATATGAAATCTTTGACAACTTCAATCTTTTCTCCATTTATCGTGGTGCTGCTTATTGTTCCAGTGTGAGGACTTTTATTTTCTTTATGTTGTTATTGTTAAGTGCCGTTGAGTCGTTTCTGACTCAATGACCCCATGCACAGCAGAACGAAACACTGCCTGATCTCGTGCCAGCCCCACAATCCCCGCTATACTTGAGCCCATCATCGCAGCCACTGTGTCAATCCATCTCGTTGAAGGCCTCCCCCTCTTTCATCGACCCTCCACTCTACCAAGCATGACATCCTTCTCCAAGGAATGGTCCCCTCTTACAACAT